AAAATTCCTATAAAGATTTAAAAAAGAGATTATTACTTTTTCATGTGTGGACTTTAAGAGATGGACAATCTATTTTGTCCTGGAAGAACCAAAAGAATGCTTTTCGCTGTACTTGTCCTGAGCTATCTGATTTTGCAGCAATCAGGTTCAATCGATTTTCAAAACGATAGCATATTTTGCCTTATCTCATTGCGCTGAACAAAACTTTACAAGTTAATTATTTAACATAGATTATTCTCTAGGATCGAAGTTACCAAAATATTCGCCAGTGGAAAGCATTTCTTGTCGGGAATACTGGAAAAAATCGCGCGCTTTGAAGGTTGTAAATTTGATGTAAATATGGTGTGAGTGTCCAAAATTCTATAAATTTAATGGAAATCAAATGTACAGAATTTCGGACACTTACATCATATTTACATCAAATTTACAACCGATTTCTTCCAGTGGAACACACACATTTTGAGCTAGTTGAGCTACAGTTCATTTTTCTTTTGAATTTTCGTTTGTAAGCCTGAATCTTTGTCAGTGTTATATCGTTTTGTTTTGTAGACTGACTGCAAGAGCACACCATGTCCCAATGGATCGAAATGCGTTCCAAACTATCTCACGGACACTTACGTTTGCCTAGGTATATATGATCTGTGTGTAATTTCTGGGTACTGAACTAATCTTTAAAATTTTCCTGAAAGTTTGACATAAAAAATTGAATGTCGGCTATTGTTTTAGTTTCAAACTGGGATTGACAGCTCGGAACAAAAGTTAACACAAACATTTTGAAACCAAAATTCACGCATTTTGAGTGACATTTACTCTATACTACTATACTCGACTTATAAGCGAGAAACAGTGAATAAGGCCCTATGAATAATCTTAATGCATTATTTTATTTCTCGCGGATTCTCGTATACAATTCTATTGTGAATGGTCACTGAAAACAATGTATTTTAAACCAGCCTACAGCCTACCTCGTTCACAATACTAACCAATCAAATTTAATCAACCTCAATCATTGAACCAAACAACTTCCTTTAAATTCTTCATTTACAGAGCTTATTCAAGTCAGCGTCAAATCAGGGATGACTTTGGAATTCCACGTGAAGGGCGCTCTATACCAACATGATGTAACATAATTATACAGCAATATGCAGAAATTATGATCATTTTGACTGATACAGCCTTTTGCAAAAATTATGAGAATTGTTGAAATATCTAAATATCATAATATCAAGTGCATGATGGGTAATCCCGCGCGATGCCCTTAGTCCTTTGTCTTTGTATTTTAGGGTTTTTTTTGGCGACAGACTTATCCGTAGTTCTGAACATTTTCTCGATGTCAACAATGAATTCTTTAGCAAACCCGCGTGTTCCGGACAATATATGGATATGGATATTATGATATTTAGATATTTAGACAATTCTCATAATTTTTGCAAAAGGCTGTATTCCAAGTATATATCAAATATATCAGAAATTGTGGGATATCATCGCAAATATATTTTTTGAAGTTGGCTAACACTAGTACTTTCTAAAAAAATATTAGCGATGATAGCCCATAATTTTTGATAAATTTTATGTATACTTGAAATATATGAAACAAAAAAAAATATTTCTGCATATTGCTCTACCATGTATTATATGATGACATTTTGACTTGGCTACAAACATCACATGCAAGAGCTGTTAAATAATTATTATAAAACTCTACGACAGTTGTTGCGATGTCGTAAAAGCGAGTTGGGCAGCTTGATTGCGATGTCCCGAGCAAGAAGTGTATTTAGGCTTTTAATGATTGGATTAACTCTGACTATTATTAATGCACCATTTCGCGGATAATTCGAAATTTTACATTACGTCGTTATGGCAAATCATTGACATCACTGGAAAGAGCTTCATAAAATCAGCAAATTTGCCAAGTTTGAAAATAATCTGATTAAAATTCAAAGAGATACGGCACTTCAAAAACACTAAATTTTGCATAGAAATGTTTGGCGAGGTTGTTACAAGTCAAGGTCAACCTCGATCTCATGCCGATGGTCATACATTTCTCATGTAAATTTTGGACTTTTAAAGTCTGTATCTCCTTGGAATTTTCATCGAATCATGCTCAAACCTGGTAAACATACTAATTTTACACTGTTCTTTCCTGTGGTTTAATCGTTTTTCGTTATTTGCTCAATGTCTAATAGCTGTGTTATCCGCGAAGAGGGCTATTGTTTCATTGTTTAATTCTTATTTTCTATTGCATTTCAGAGGGATGGAATAAACATACTTGTTCTCAATAATGATGGAAGCATTAACACGCCAGTAACAGGCTTTACATCAGCCGATCAATTATCATATTACATTAGTTCTCTTAGCCCGGGTAAGATTGTTCTAATGGGTGTACATATTAAGGGAATAGCACAGGACAACCACATGCCAGACAGCCAAACCTTTACCCAATCTATTGCTGCGCTTAAGTCTATAGGCTCTAGCTTGACAGCTTATAATCAGATTGAAGGAAAACCGGGATGGGCACTGATAGGTTGTAAGGATGAACAAAAACCATGGATAGCGGAAAGCCTCACCGATACGCCCCTAACTGCGGCCATCCCTCACCTGAAATGAAAACTATTAGTCTATGCATGGCGGACGCTAACAAAAGTAGAAGTAGTTTCAATGAGTAATTATTAATGTCAATTCTTGGTTACAAACTTATTGGATAAGGTTTTTGTGATACCCGATCGAAATTATCGATTTCGAGGCAAGTTCAATCAGTCGAGGCGGGTTTGCATTTAAAGGCCCAGTTTGCACCATTATGCTTTGAGCGCCTCTGTTATTGTTATGATTTACACCATAATACTTCTTAGTATCCAAATATCACCATAAAACGAATATCAGATGGTTTTAAAACTCTAATAGTAACGTTTAAAGTGCTTAGAAAAGTGAGATGGTCAAAGATTCGAAACGCACAGTACACTTTATAGACTTTCGGTAAACTGAAAATGGCCGCCTTCAGGCCCCAAAGCATAATGGTGCACACTGGGGCTTTAAAAAGGGAGATTCAAAAACCGTCTTTTTGGCGCTTACGGGTGCAACCTACACTTTATCGTAAAGGTTATAGTTGCCATTGTCTATCCAATTACATTTTCGGTAATCTGCTGCTGGTGTATGACCATTCAATGTAGTATATATCTTAACCAATCATTCAGACTTCATTCATTCACTTCATTCAGATATATTTAGCACAATGTAGATTATTGGACTGGGGATTACGTCAGAAATAAAAGTGATGTTGGGATATGTATTGAAATGTGAGATTTATTTATCGAATCACTAGGTTGTTAGTATTGGTCTTTAGGTCTTTCCGACATTCAAAAAAAAGGACTGGTGACTAGTCAAAAAATCGCATATCAAAGAATTGCCCCACAAAAGTTGCCCTTCGTTTAGCAGCCATATATGGTAATCTTACCTTATTTGGAAGTAAGATAGGAATGTTTTTTGTCGATTTTCTCGAATTTTTAAATTCTTTAAAAAGCTTGAAATCGTCTGAAACTTGCAGATACTGTAGCGAAAACACTTCTCAACAATCGGCCATTTTGTTTGTTTCCATATATGGCATGGATTCGCTAAAGGAAGCCCAAAACTAAACCAAAGGGAACCCGCACGAATGACATATACAATTCTTTGATTACAGTTTGAATCATACTCAAAGCAGAAACCAGGACTAGAAACAGCATACTAAAATCAGTATAGTTACTGAGTGTCGACATATTCGGATTTTTAATAACTTGCAAGCGTTCAAAACTAGAAAAAATTATGAAGCTCTTAAGCAGCGTCCCCAAAAACCATACATTCTCTCCTGTTTTTGCATATTTGAAAAATACCCTTCAACTAAATAGTTTCAAACTTGGCAAGAACACTAATAGACCCTTGCAGCTTTTACGTCATATACCGTATACGCAATGCATTGTAGGACGTTTGGGACAGAAAATGGCGGATTTCTTTTGTTTTCTCTAGAAACTGATCCCACAATGCATTGCAAATCAAGTAGTGACGTAAAAGGTTCAGAAGTCTATTTGTAGTAATTGTGTACGTTGACAAGAAATATTTCTGAAGAAATGTATGTTGCTTGTGTTATGTAGTTATTGCTTTTATTTAAAAAATGATGCCACAAGATTAGAATTTAAAAAAAATTGAACAAACTTAAAGCGCTATCTTTTGACTGTATTACTCTGTGAACAATCAGTGAATAATGGCCTATGGATTAGAATTATTTTTTGAGTCTTTGTAATCTCTCCCTTCGTCTAATCATGACAATGCTAAGGTACTAGAACGTTTTGTGCGCATGGAACCTTAAATTGGAGGCATCGATGAAAATGAAAGAAGGGAAGAAGAGAAAGGGGAAGGTACATTGAGGAAGATTGAAGTTTAGGAAGGGAAAATCTTCAAAAAACGCATATTTGTGGGTATGACGCGGGAGCTAAGAAGAAGAGAACTGACGGAAAAGTTTAATTAAACGAGAACAATTGTAATGCACACGCAATTTTCAATCGACAAGAAGAATAACTTTCCCGCTTAAACCTGTCTGTTAAGAATGTCGTTTTTCAAGAGTCGGACCATAAGCTGACCATACCTCTTCGGGAAGAGGCCAAAGAAGCAAAGAATAATTTTAATTAAAAAATTAAAAATTAAAAATTAAAAATTAAATTTTTTTTACACAGAACTGGAAGATGCTGGTAAAATTCAACCCAACCAGCTGTCTATCTATTGCGAATTGAGAGACTCCACTCTAAATCTAATTTAAATAAAAAAACGTTAACAAAGAGAAATTCAAATGTGAAGCTTCCAATTTAACTTCCAATACCTTTCACAAAAAAATATCTCCAGAGGATATCAAATTAAACCGAGAGCAAACTACTAAGAAATTTTTCAGTCATCTTTTAAAAGTCGTTTACAACATTGGCGTATACGTATTCCTATCAGATCTAGTAAAATATAGCACCTTCGGCTTGAGATTGTAAATCTGATACAATACGTCCGCTCATGTTGTAAACTATACAAATTGCGGTAGAAAAGAGTAAACGCATATAATATATAAGGGGTGCATGTTTATATTACCTCAAATCTCAGAGCAATTATAAAAGAATTAAGTTTCAAAATAAAATTTAAAAAAACCGTGAGACTCGTAAGATAGCAAATGTGTAATTAAAGTCCATGAATAGACAAAAAAGGTTTCAATTTTTTAACATTCATCAAAGCCTAAAATAGTTGAAGCGATTAAAGGCAGCAGTTATTGGATTCCCGCCGACATCGATAACAAGTCTATTGCAGTCCCGAGATATATTTTGAAGAGCCTAGCTCTCGGTGTGCATGTCACGGTCCCAACGACTATCTCCTTCTTTTGGAAAATGAAGACGGCAGGACTTGTTTTTATAGTCTGTTTCTTTCCAAATATCTTGGCACAGGTCCATCATCATATAACGAAAGGCTCCCTTCTAAGAGATCATGGATTTGGATTCGTCAACTTTGTATTTCACAGGAATAGCAGACTTAATGTTTCAGGCTCRTTGATGGTTTATGGCCCAAGTGAAAAAGAATGCGGCAAAGGATGCACAAGAAACTCTACATGCTTTTCGTTTAACTTTGGAACAAAACCAGTTTTTCACATCGGAGGTATGTCATTTGTATTTTCTGTTTTCTATGGTTCAAACTCAGATACTTTTCCAGGGATTCGGCTCAGTTTCTGATATAATGATCTCACTCTTATTTAAGACGAACCTCAGTACCTTTGCGAGCTGCTCCCAACAGACAAGTACAACTCATCTCAATTGTTTGCACCCAGCGCTGACTTTCACCACTACAGTATACAGGTAAAGTCAATTTGATTGAATAAATAAAATTTTTATTTATAGAGGAAGTACTTTGATGTTTTATTTGAAAGAACACATGCATGTTGAGCGCAATGGACATTTTGACTACCTTATGTATCACAAAAAGCCATAGTTTACTTAAATTGTGTTTTAAGTTGTCAAAAGGCGACAGCTGAACCGTAAAGACGATTAAAAAACTAGATAATTGCAAAACGTAAATCTTAAATCACATGACACTTAATCAAATAAAGTTTCTTTTGTACATGAGCCGGCCAGTTGCATGTGAATAACGCTATCTTTAAATTTCGTATGAATCCATCAACAAGTGGGTCATCAAATCCCCGAAAATCTATGGAATGATAAACTTTATTCAAACTTATCACAGAACTGGGCCCAGTGCGTGATTGATTTTACGAGGAATGAATATTAACCTATATACTAAAAAAACCTGATCAACTTTTTCTCCCTTCTTACAACCACCCCAGATCAATAACTTCATGTTTGGCTGTTGCCATGATAACTGACAGCATGGGAACATTTTAGAGCCCAAGCAAATTAAATAATGATACCAAAAGTGTAACATATCAAGCCAATTTGTATTTCTTGTCATTGTTTTTAGACTGAACCAAGAACTCACCATGATTACTGACATATATAATAGGAATAATTTAAGAAAAAATACAAATAAATTGAATAATGCATAAATCCAATTATTTTGTTCGTTATTTTTTTTTAGACTGAATGCAAGAGCTCCCCATGCCCCAAAGACTGCCAATGCGTTCCAAACTATCTCATGGGTAATTACATCTGCCTAGGTAAATAAACAAAACCTTGTAACTGTTTCCTATACACCATGGTCATCAATTTTTCATGTCCAAATTGAATAGATCTTGTTTTTCTCAAATCGTGAATATGCGCAGACAGAATTTTCAGATCAGAGACATTAATCCTTAATGAATTAGCCATGATGCTCCTTCTAAGGCCCTGTTTGCATGAGATAGGGTGCCCCTACGTGGTTGGGCTAACTCGTTTGTTTTCTTTTCCCTCGGCCTGGAGGATTGAAAACAAAAGAATTTGGCTCTACATCTAGGGGCACCCTATCTCATGTAAACATGGTCCTAAGAGATCAGCTATTGGTTTAGACATTGTATGAAGATGTCCATGCAAGGTCCAAAGAAGAACAATGATTTTATCTTTCAAAAAGAATTCATTCACTGAATAGAACTAACATTCCATTTTTGTCTGTCCATTCTTCTTTTGCATGATTGAAGGGAAGGCTGAGTATATAATAAACGAGATTTTGAAATTGGAGTATTCACCCTTTGCGAAACTAGACCCTGACAAATAAAAGATTTCAACACGAAAAAACTAAGCTCGAAGATGTTTGATTTATCTTACTTCATTCATTTATCTTTTTCTTAAGCCAATCTTACAGTGTCTGTACTTTGAAGGACAAAAGATTGACATGAATGCAGCATATTGAATCGAATACAATTACCCTGTGCGAGCTTGTTCAGTTGTACATCATTTTGCTCCAACAACTCGAAATTTTAGGTTAAGATTTTATTGAAACTTCGTCAGTATATCAATTATGTGTTATTACAAAAAGATTCTGAAAATTTTATTACAATCTCTGGGATGAGTTTTGAGAAATTAACTTTGAAGAAAAAAGAAGGTGTTTTTGTTTTGCATCGTTTATCCAAATGGCTTCGCTTTTTGGAAAATTAATTTATCTACAAGAATTATTGATAATCACTGTTACTTCTTTGAAAATTTGGGTGCAATGGAATCGTATTTTGCGACGTAGTTGGAGTTCAAAATTACGCGCGAAGCGCTATTTATTACGATCGAAACACCTTAAACGAATCTTGCATCAAAAAGAGACACTGCAACAGCTGAACTTGCGCTAGATACCTTTTGTCTTCACAATTTCAACACTTCTTCTCGCTGTGTCTTGTTTATACCTTTCAAGATGAGGATTGGGATTGCAAAGGAATTTTATGGCCGCCTCCATTATCAACAATCATGTCTTTGTCTTTGTTAGAGTGCACACCACATAAGCATGAAATAATTAACAAATTAGCGCCTAATAAGAGTTAGTTATCAACTAACTAAGAATTTAGTGAGGCATAAACAAAGACAAGTTTCCTTTCTGGCATTGTGTTCATGCCCCAGTGAATAGACCCCTTGCATGTGACGTCAAAGCAGCTTCATCTGGAGGACAAAACAAAAGATTTTTATCCTCTTGGGAACTRRAWTCYAKTGTTTTGTCCTCCAGTTGGAGCTGCATTCCCATGAATTGCAAGGGGTCTATTCTTAGTTTAGTTAATAGTTGATAGCTAAATCTTATATTAAATTTTTCAATAGTTAAGAATTGTTTCATTCTTTTTTGGCGTGCACTCTATTGCACTGATCTTTATAATCTTCAAATTGCGGTTCTTTTCTAGATAATGTCGACGAATGTGAAGCCATGATTCACAATTGCCATTCTCTGGCAAGCTGCACCAATACCATGGGATCATACTATTGCACTTGCTTGAAAGGTCTCACAGGAAATGGTTTCAAATGTGGTGAGCACGACTAGATGTTTGTTTGCGCCTGCAATTTACAATGTATAATGAATGAACTCTGTGAGCTGCTGGTGCCGTTTTCATTTCTCATGTGTGCTCTAGAGATGTAGTAATTAGAAAACCAAATATAAATAGATCGGGTACAATTTCGCATGTAAGAAAGTGCGCGTAAGCGAATATCACAATGAAGGCAATGTCAAGTGCTACAGTTCATTCTGATAATTCATACATCATCTATTTTTCAAGGTTTGATAATGCACAATATCTATCATTTCATAATTGTACCTAAGGCCCAGAATTATGTACTTCGAACTTCACATGAGTCGAACACAATTTTTAAAAGCATCAAATGCACGTAATGTGCGACGTATAAATTAATCAAATTCAACAGTGTTCGAGAAAAGTTGTACAACTTCAGTTGAGTATGCGACTAAAACAGTCCATCCCAGTCCATCTGTAAATTGATCAACTTTTCCAGTAAAAATATGGTTTAATAGTCTCCTTCACGGTTACCTGCGCCATCTTGAAAAGTAGCCGTGCCTTCACACCGAAACGAGACAACCGTTGAGCGTGCAATGACAGAAACCTTCTTTCACACCTACAGACAATCATTCACAGGTTTCTATCATTGTGCGCTCAACGGTTGTCTCGATTCGATGTAAAGGCACGGCTACCTTTCAAAATGGCGCAGTTAACCGTGTAGGAGACTATTGTGAAGGCATAAGTATAAAGTTTGGAGTATAACCCAGGCCTTTTTTCCCTCAATTTTTACAAATTATTTTAAGGGGACATCAATGAATGTGCTACAGATCAACACAATTGCACGGCAGCCAATGCCATATGTGAAAACAAGTTTAGGTCGCACACTTGCCGATGCGCTGTCGGTTTCCAAGGAGATGGAGTAAACAAATGTGGTAAGTATTTTGTAATTTTCATCTCGGGAATATAGAGGGAATGTGATATACAGCGTCTTCACTACCTATGGTGAATGTTATATTCAAACAAGAGTGAATATGAATGATTGTGATCAGTGAATATGGTATATATACCTAATTAAAAAAACGTAGTTGTGTCCGAAAAGGTCACATCATAGAAGCTAAGACCGAAAGGGATTTTGAGTACCACTAAATATGGGATTACATTTGCATATACGGTGTACACTAAGCAAGTAGACCTAGTAAGATTAACAGCATGATAGTCTTTTATGCTGGAGAGCTGTTTGTCATGAAATTAGCCAAATTGTTTGTTTTCCCAAGTACCCTTTAGGTCTTAGCTTCTATGATTTGACCTTTTTGGACCCGACAACGTTTCTTCAATTAGGTGTATACACATCATATTCACAGAGTGAATCCATTTTTTCATGCAGTGTTATAAAAAGTTGAATAATAATTGCAATCTTGCAAAACAATGGCATTGTCGTATATGGTGCTGTAGTCAAACAAAACCTAAAAAAGTAGCACGGCTTAATGGAAACGTTCAGAGAACAGCTAGATCAAATGATGGAATAATCGTAGATGCCAGTTTGACAGTATCATTTTATTTATATAAACTTACATATCTTATGAAAGGCCTTGTAAAGATTTTCGTGTAAAACGAAATATGCAATGCATCCAAGGTGAAACTTGGCTCGATAATTCAGATAATTCAATTGAAAAAAAAATCGTTGCCGACTGCAATTTTGAAACAATTATATAATTAATAATAAATTATCTATTTCAGTGGAACTTGACGAGTGCTTAAATCCAAGTTCATGCAACAACAACTCGCGATGTTTCAACACTATCGGCTCTTACGTTTGTGACTGCTTACCTGGCTATAAGAAGGAATCTGGGAATTGTGGTAGGTCCTCAAATATGAATGTGAACTGGGAGTCGAAGAATGTATGTGAACTGGAAGATAGAGAGAATGTATGTGGACTGGGTAGGTCCCCAAATATATTATAAATGTGAACTTGGAGTCGAAGAATGTATGTGGACTGGGACGTAGAGAATGTATGAGAACTGGAAGGTAGAGAATGTATGTGAACTGGGAAGTAGAGATCAGAATGCATGTGAACTGGGAAGTAGAGAATGTATGTAAACTGGTAACTCCATTTCTTATCTATCTTAGTTGATATTGACGAGTGTGCAACTGGAAGTCATAGTTGCCATAGCAGCGCAACATGTACAAATAACCATGGCAGCTACTCGTGTGCTTGTAATGATAATTTCGCTGGCGATGGAAGAAAGTGTACAAGTAAGTGAGGAAATTATTTGCTTGTGAGAGGTTTGCAGTCAAAGACAATAGATATTTACGAATTCGACCATAGCTTCATCCAAATAATTAAAAATCAAACAATTATAAAGAATTCGGAGAACAAATAGGAAGAGGTGGGGGATAACATTAAAATTGACATTGATCACAAAATTCAACAAACCAGTAAAAGCCAGTAAGACCGATTTTATAACTTGCTCATTTCCTGGAAAAAAGTAAGAAAGAAAGAATGAAAGGAAGGAAGAAGAAATGAACAACAGATGATCAATTGAAAGTGGGTTGACCATGTTTTTATGGTGCATTTTAGTCCAAAACATTAGAGCAAACGCAGGAAAACCATGAAATAAAATCAAACTAAATACTAACAAACAGCGCACTATTTAGAGACAATTTGTCAGTATCAATGAACTAGAACACAACAAAGATGAATGAAAAATGGTCCCATGTGGATTCATCTTCATTGTGTTTTGGTTCTTTGATACTGACAAATTGTCTTTGTCTCTAAATAGCTGCTATTTGTTAGTATTTAGTTTGATTCTATTTCATGGTTTTCCTGCATTTGCTCTAATGATTTGGCCGTTATTCTCTTTAACATTTCAACTATCTGATCATTTCAGAAACTATAATTGTGAGCGTTACCTCAGGCGACCCAGTGGAGTTTAAAATTAATGAAGTGAAAGTTTCTAACGAGAAAGTAAGTGGTAAACCTTAATTGGGCATCCTTTATTTGGAGGCTACAAGTATTTTAGTCTTTAATATTTAACCTCAAAGAGTAGAGTTTTGTTGTGACTGTGTTCATTCTGTTACATGTTTGTCCATTGTATTCGTTCTCTCCAAAGAAACGATTTGGGCCGATTGCATGGGTCGAGATTTGTGTTGCATGTACTAAAGTAATGCAATTTAGTAATGTTGCTCACAACTTATTCTTTGTGAGCATCATTACTAAAATTAAAATTAATTAAAATTATTCATGAGGTATCCAACCAATCCCTGATTGTCATTTGTACCACGTGCAGTAACTTGAAACCAGAGGAAGTACTCCTATCTTGTATTCTTCCTTATTTCCAGTTACTTCGTGCTTATTTCAAGTCACTTCTACATTATTTCTAGTTACTTCTACATTATTTCCAGTTTCAAAGATTGTTCTGTTTCAGTTAGTTTCTGTTCTGCAAATTTCTGTTATTTTGATTTTATTCAATTTTACGTGTTGCCTGCCTGCTTGCTTGGTGGCTTGGTTTGGTTGTTTAGGCTAATTGAATGATTGATTGATTGATTGTTTTTTCAGGCTGAGCATGGAATAAATATCCTTGTTTTGAACATGAACGGAACTGTCCATGTTCCTGTCAAGGGGTTCGACACTCTACATGAGAAGCACGGAATATCCGCAGCTCAGCAAACAACTCTCTTATACAAACTCATTTCTAGTATTCCCAATAATAAGATCGTTCTTATGGGGTTATTTAAGAGCGATCACATGCCTAAACAGCCAACATTTGATGACCTCAAAACACAATTTCAAGCTATAGGATCTAACGTGAAACTTCATTCCGAAATCGTTGGGAAATCGGGATGGTCTTTGATCGGCTATAAGGGTGGGCAAAAACCTTGGATGAAAGAAAGTTTTGATACCAATTCTCTTATTGCTACCATCAATCCCTTGGAGTAGTAGAGTACAAACACTAAAACTGTGCAACATAAATACCACTAATAAAATACTGCTAAATTATGATAATTGAATTGTTTACACTATTTTGTAGTAAATAGTTGAAAGTGTTGCACACATTTAATGTTTGCAGTATTTGCATGCCATATTGTTCCGTCGTACAACTATAACAGGTTATTCCAATATTATTGTGAATCTTGGAAAGGTTGCATGCTTGGGTCTTACTATGTTAATAAGAGTAAATGAAAAAAATAAATAAATAAAAAGTCAGTATGGGGTACATAGGCAATTCTTTGATCATTGTTTTATTGAAAAAGCAGCCATTCAATTGACTTTTGTTTCTTTACCTTCAACTGAATCGTATATCGTGCATAGCGACGACATTTTGTGTAGCAAAGCATGATTGTTGTAAGTTGTAGTATTCTCACTATATAGACACTGAATTATCTCTCTAAAGCGACGTTTTAATTTTTTTTTTAAGAAAAGTTAGAGCTACTTCTATTGGTGCTTAGAAAAGCACAACTGCTTAGATAGATAGATAGATAGTGTTTATTTTAAAACCCTTGCAGCCATACCAGCTGAACTACGGCATATACATTTACAATATATAATATTAAAACTATTTAGCAATATAATATAATTATATATTCACAATGTAATATCAGAACTATTAAAACTAGGAGCCCCCCCCCCTCCCACACACACACACACTTTTTTCTTCCGAAAAAATTAATAGTAAGTGAAATCTATCGGTAAGATTAAAATAAAAAATCGATGATCAGAGCTCGACTATACTGTGACGGCATCAAGTTGGAAACGTTAAAGAGTCAACTTCGCATGCCTCCGGACCCTTCCTATACAGATCGCGCCTTCGGTCACTGCCTTCGGTCACTGCTCCGCGGTCACTGCCGGCTCAGCCTAAAGCATTTAATATGTTATTAACAACAACAAGAAACTAAGCTCACCAACTTTGAATTTGGAGAACAATATACAAATAGGAAAGAAAAATATTATTCCTCTTAAACAAAACCGCCATGAATTAATAACAAGAGTTCAAAAGTTTCTTTTATAACTTACTCAGTTTTTATTCCCGCGGTGTTTTGGTTTATTCCATGGGATGTCCCCGCTGCGNCTCTTTCATGTGTGGATTTTAAGAGATGGACAATGTATTTTGTCCTGGAAGAACCAAAAGAATACTTTTTGCTGCACTTGTTCAAAGTCCTGAGCTATCTGATTTTGCAGCGATCTTTCAAGCGATTTTCATAACTATAGCATATTTAGCCTTCCTTGTGAAGAGACATTTAGTTAGCTCATATATCATTGCACTGAACAAAACTTTACAGCTTGATTCTTTAGTATTATTCTCTAAATGAGAGAAAATGGAAATAATGGCTAGTCCGAAATATGCACATCCTGAGCTAGTTGAGCTCCAGTTCGTGATTTTTTTTTTTAAATTCCCGTTTGTAAGCCCGAGTCTTTGTAAGTATTTCTTTTTGTTTTGTAGACTGACTGCAAGAGCACACCATGTCCCAATGGATGGAAATGCGTTCCAAACTATCTCACGGACACTTACAGTTGCCTAGGTATATAGGTCTATAATTTGTGTGTACTTTGTGGGCAAATAAATAACTATTGTTCTATAATCTAATGTCGGCTATTTATAGACAACCAAAAATTTAACCAGCCTACAAACCACCACCACCACAATATCAGCCAATACAGCCCAGCGCTGCAATCATTAAACCGAACAACAAATAAAATTTCATCACTTCGTCAATATGATATCAAATCTTGATCATTTTTAGAGCTTTTACAAGTCAGCATCAAATCAGGATTTATTTTGGAATTCCGTGTGAAAGGCATTCTTCACGCACACCATGTAATGTATTTTTATGTATTATAATATATTCAAAAAAATTATATGATCGGATAGTCAAAATTGTATACACGAAGCGAAGTAAAACTATCATAGATTGGTTTTTATCACATTTTAATATTTACAAATATTTATTATACAATTAGATGACAATCCAGGAAATAAAAGAACAATCTTGTGACCGTGATATGTACTTATATTTACCACGGCTCTCGAACAATCAGAAATAGAACAAAGTTTGGTTAAAATTATTTTTATGTCTCCAACCTGCAGCATCTCTTCGTTTATGGATACGCACCATGTGCAGATTGAACGATCTCCCGAAACAAGAAAATCACAGAGTGCGATAGTCATTCTTGGCTTTTCGAAGAAAATTTCGTTGTGAGCCGTCTTGCCGTTCTTCTTCATCTTTTACGCATGCATTTCAAGATTTCAATTTGTGCATGAAAAAAGCTTGTCTCACTGATGAAGGTTGCTTTATTGACCAAAACGTCGTTAACAGATCGTTAGAAAGCAACTATTTGTAATAATCATTGACTATTAGTAATTATTTCACATTCCCAAGTATAGACTAACGCCTCATTCATTCAAACAGCTAAGTTTTATCTCTTTCTTTTCGATTTCAGAAGGATGGAGTCAACATACTTGTTCTCAATAACAATGGGAGTATTTATCTGCCTGTAAAAGGATTTAATACCCTTCTACATTCTGATGCAGCGTTCAAATTATTAGTGTACATTCTTAATGATGTCCCTAAGGGTAAGATCGTCCTGATGGGAGTTCATAGAAAATCTATAGGATTACAGGATCACATGCCCGATAGTAATGCCTTTGGACAATTTATTCCTGCATTTAAGGCAATAGGCACTAGAGTGACTGTGTATACCCAGATAGAAGGGAAACCGGGATGGGCACTGATAGGTTGTAAGGGTGAACAAAAGCCATGGATAGCTGAAAGCCTTGATGGAAATCTCTTAAGCGCAATCATTTCCTAGCTAACGAGTATTGTCGTGGCGGCCATTAACGGCCGAATTTCGATATTTTGGTTGACTAACTGCTCACAAGAGATTGAGAACGAGGCTCCTGGGAACAATGCAAAGTTCCTCGTCCTAAATTCTTTTGTGCATGACCATTCAACCATAATATCAAAAGTGGGATATCGTTGTCCTCAGAGGGTGTTTAACCTTCCATTTCTTGGTTATTTAACAATTATAAAAGGTTTCTTAAATTAAATTAATGTGAATTTATAGGAATTCCTACTTTCAACAGAAAGGAATTTTACCGAATAAATGCATGATATTGGTTTCATTTAATTATTTGTATATTGCAGATAAAATGTGTGCAAGAATAAATAAAATAGGGGAGCAAACTGCAGTAGCTATCTTTTGACTCTATAACTTTGAAGACATACTGTGAATAATTGTCTATGGATAAGTAAAAGGTATTTTATTTTTTTGTATCTTTGTACGCTCACCTGTCTTCTCATCGACCCTGCAAAGATACTCGATTTTTTGTGCGCATGGAACCTTGAACTTGAGGCCTTATATTAAAATGAAAAAGAGCGTAGAAAAAAAGAGAAGGAATGTCGACGAAGATTGAAATTAGGAAGAGCAAATCCTCCAAAAACGCTGGGGCTGGAAAAAAGGAACCGACAAAAACGTTTAATTAAACATTTGTAACACGCTGCAATTTTCAATCGACAAGAAAAAATAACATAAATGTTATCATTCTTTCCCCGCTTAACCCTGTCTGTAAAAAAATTCCTTTTTCAACAGTCGGATACAGGTCTGCTCGGGGAGAGGCCATACTATACAGCAATGAAGTATTATATTTCTGACACAGAACGTCTGGAAGATTTTCGTAAATTAAAATCCAATGCAAAATGCATTGTGGGATCAGTTTCAAGAGAAAACAAAAGAAATCCCCCATGTGCTGTCCCAAACATATCCTACAATGCATTGCGTAAACGGTACATGACGTAAAAGCTTCAGAGGTCTATTCTCCCATATAGCTGAAATCATAAAATCTAAGATCATCAATCAACACAGAAAATGGAATTTATGAGCCGGGTTGTTCAAAGGTCGATTAGCACTAATTAGAAAACTTGTAGAGTTGACCGTGAATTAACGCCCCACTTTTTGCTTCCGAAAAAATCAATAGTAAGTGAAATCTATCGGTAAGATTAAAATAAAAAATCGATGATCAGAGCTCGATTATACTGTTGGAAACGTTAAAGTGTCAACTTCGCATGCCTCCGGACCCTTCCTATACAGATCGCGCCTTCGGCCCAACCCTAGCCCTACATATTTGACCGCTCCGCGGTCACTGCCGGCTCAGCCTAAATCATTTAATATGTTATTAACAACAACAAGAAACTAAGCTCACCAACTTTGAATTTGGAGAACAATATACAAATAGGAAAGAAAAATATTATTCCTCTTAAACAAAACCGCCATGAATTAATAACAAGAGTTCAAAAGTTTCTTTTATAACTTACTCAGTTTTTATKCCCGCGGTGTTTTGGTTTATTCCATGGGATGTCCCCGCTGCGATCTTTAGAACACTAGTCTATTATATAATAATCTACATCACTATGTTATCACTATGCAACTATGTTATCTTTATCAATTTTACAGCTACGGACCTCATTCATATCGGTTCGACAATGCATCTATATCACCGGTAACCTGTCTTAGGAAAAATGCAGACTGCATCCCTAGTCTGTCTAGTTTTTGTAGTAAGTTGCTTCCCAAACATCTTGGCTCAGGTTTATCAACATGAATCCAGCGGCTCTCTTTTAAGAGATCTTGGACTTGGAGTTGTGAACTTTGCATTTCATCCCAATGGTAGACTTAATGTTCCAGGTGC